CTTTACGCTTAATGTAATGATGCCTTGTGGTAATAGGCGGTGTTTGTGTTTACGGTTTTTGTTGTTAGGTTTTTGGTAATTCGATTCCATTGGATACATTGCAGATACGCGAACCTGGAGGGTCGAAGAGCACAATTGATCGAGGCGAAAGTCATTTAAGAGGTCTTTTTTGTGGTCTGATGGTTCCGTGTGTTGCCTTGCATCTGCTCATCGGAGCTGTAGGGGCGGGAGTCATTCACCAGCGAGACTTTGGAACGCACTGATAAAGCATTCGCACAATCGGGTGGAATTCATTATATATACTACCTCGAGATGCGAACGTCAAGTTTTTGGGGAAAAAAAGAAAAATCATATAGTGGGTCAGGAGTCTAAAACGCTATGCACGTGGATAGGTTTCTCTCCAATCCTCTAAAAAGATCAACGTCCAGGTGAACACGGGCCAGCCGCTTTCCGGAGAGCCAATTCGAGGTCGGCCAAGTTTGTTCAAACGTTCAACCACAAACATGTCCAAAGCCCTCCTGATACCGATCCATCATCTTCCATCATCGTCATAAATTGACGTGCAGCTGGAAATTGAGGTGAGTGTGTCTCCTACTCGTTTCAACTACATAGCCTAAAAAAGATCACTATATGCGGAATATGCCAGAAAATGGCCCCCCTCCGTTTCGAGAATGAGAATACCCGGAACGCTTTATTTCAGCAAGTTGCAGGTTTGGAAGCAGAAATGGCGCATATGCGGGCCCTCCTCCTTCAAAAAGAAGAGGAACGTCTGCGATTATATTCTAAAATAAATTCCCTATCCCTATTCGATCAACTTCCACCAGAGATCAAGACTGAAATATTCTACAACACTTTGAACCAGTCAACAGGCTGCTACGACTCCATGGGAGTGACTCCCCTTTCTCTGGGAAAAGTTTGCCATGGTTGGAGAGATTTCGTTTGGTCAACTCCAATCCTTTGGACAACCCTACATATACGGCTGTCGACGGATAACTACGAGACCCAGGCCATTCTTCTCCGTGACTGGCTGTCCAGAACCGGAGAATACCCCATCTCCTTTTATCTTGATACGGATGGGTTTCTGGAGACGCGTGATCATTCTCCGATAGAAGAAGTTTTGACCCTCTTTGCGTCTGTCTCAGCACGATGGAGGGAAATAGAAATCTCTTCTCCCGACCTTCAAGCTTACTTTGATGTCATTTTCACCGCTGAACAATCCCTACCTCTTCTTACTACTGCTACCGTTTGGCTAGGCGGGATGGAAGAAGAGTTCAGTCTACTCATGATGGCCCCACAACTCTCAGAACTTCATCTTTATCGCCCCGTTCTGCGCAAGGTGCTAGCTCCATGGCACCAATTGCAGGTGTTTCTTGCATATCGCTTATGCGTGGATGAGATTCGGCTTTTTCTTCACAATGCGCCTCAAATAGTCCGCTGCACCTTTACAAACATTGAATCATCCATTCTGGAGCCTTCATTGCTGTTCCATCAGCCGCTCCTGTTGGAACATCTGCAATATCTCGAGCTCGATTTCAGGAATGTAAATGTTAAATCAACTTGGATTTTAGGGCAAGTCAGACTTCCTTCTTTGCGTGAAGTCTCCCTCCGCAACCCTGTGCACCCCCCCCAGGACGCTCTCCCGTTTCGAATTACAAGTTCATTTCAATCCTCGCCTCTCTTGGAAAAATTTACTTGGAGTGGCATGATCATGACTGATCATGATTTGATTCAGGCTTTAAACAACATTCCGTCAGTGAAGGATCTATCTCTGGACTTCCTCGGTCATCACCCCTCCAGCAAGTTACTCACTGAAACATTGCTTCAACGACTCCACTTCCCTCATGCAGAAATTCTTCTCCCGAACCTGCGAAGCTTCACGTACCGTGGCCCCACTTCACTCAGTGAACACATGCATCTGTTGCGAGATGTGCTTGTGTCCAGATTCCGAAAGTGCGCTCCGCGAGCCGCCGAAGTAGTCTCAGAACGAACCACTGTAGCCCAAATCAAGTCGGTGAGCGTCACGAGCTTCTCAGAGTTCGTCGTCAGTCCGGATATACAAGAAGAACTAAACAGCCTTGTGCAAGCAGGCCTGGAATTCTCGTTAGCTTTCGATCCGAT